TTGGAATTTTAGTTTATAAATTGAAATTTTAGGATATGAATTGAACTTTTGTGGGTATGAGTTGAACCTTTAGGATATGAATTGAAATTTTTGGATTATGTATTGAAATTTTAGTTTATAAATTGAAGTTTTAGGATATGAATTGAACTTTTGTGGATATGAGTTGATATTTAGGATATGAATTGAAATTTTTGTGTATGAATTGTACTTTTAGGATATGAATTGAGTCTTTAGGATATGCATTGGACTTTTAGTTTATGTATTAGAATTTTAGTTTATAAATTGAAATTTTAGGATATGAATTGAACTTTTGTGGNTATAAAATGTTCAATGTTCAATAACGGAGAGTGAGTCATGAAAATACTCAGTATATATATATATATATATATATATATATATATATATGGGGACTCTCTATACTTGGTGTGGAATTCAAAATAAACATGTTAAAAACAAAGTTATAAATTATTTAATTTGAAAGCTCTCTCTATCACCTTGTCCGGCACTCTTCCAAAGAGCATTGATGAAAATACAACAACACAATTTTCCTCAGAAGGAATACATAGTGCTCAGTCACAACCCATATATAATCAAAGTAGAATTTTGTCAGCCTTTCTCTTGGTAATAGGTATTCTAAAATTGTCTGGTCTTGATTAAAAAATGGATCCTTTCATTTTCACATATTTTAGTTATACTGCATGCATGACATGAGACGTCTTCAAACACAAATTAAACTTCTCCTTCCTTAACCTTTTTGTTGAAATAGACTTTCCTCCTAGAGGCCTCAAGCGCAGTGCACTTTGAGTATAAATAGAGGTGAAGTGAAGCCATTTTGATTCACCTCTACTTCTACAATATCTACTTGCTTTCTCCCTCTAGCTAGGCTACAACCTCCTTTCTTAAGAAGAACAAGTTTTCAGAATGGCAACCTTTCTACTACTATTAACTTTGTTAGCAATATCGGTCGGCGCCGAAGATGGACTAAACGTCAACATAACCATACTTGAAAGCGCCACAGCAGAAGGCGCTGGTAAAATACCCTTTACTAATTGACTATACAATGGTTCCTTCCTGAAGTAAAAGAAATTAAAAGAGATCAATTAATTGTTTATTTATTAATTTACTTCGTTTTTTGATTTTAACAGTATGCCTAGATGGGAGCCCACCCGCTTATTATCTTGATAAGGGATTTGATAGCGGACTTTCCAACTGGATTATCATGCTTGATGTTAGTAATTATCTTTTCTTCTTCTTTTTGTTTAATTATTTAATTACTTTCATCATTACTAATTGTATAGTCCCCAAAACATTTATTCTGCTTTAAACTATGGAGATATTTCATATTCTCTAGGGCGGTGGGTGGTGTTGGAGCATCACTGAGTGCCAAAATCGTTCAAGTTCAATAGTAGGTTCTTCCACGAAAATGAAGAACCCATCTATGTTTGGTGGGATACTTCATAACAATCCCCAAGAAAATCCAGGTGAAGCTCAGGTTTCAGCTCATATATATCTTGCTTTCATATTTTCTGTATGAATAGATTTTTACCCACTTCTTCTAACTGCAAAAACATTGGAATTCCTAGACTTTTACAACTGGAACAGGGTGCAGGTGGGTTACTGTGATGGATCATCTTTTACGGGCGATGTCCAAGAAGTTGATCCAGTAAGTATAGAACTACATGCATGTTCGCATCCATAAACATCACTGATTTATATCGGTCGTATATCCTGTAAAATTTCTTTCCGGTTGCAAATGTCAAATATATATTAGGAGAAGAAGCTTTTCTACAGAGGGGCGAGAATATTCAAAGCAGTTATGGAAGATTTGTGGAACAAAGGAATGGAAAATGCTAAAAATGTGAGATCATAAATTACAGTTTCACCTACTGCATTATTATACTTTTCAGTAACGCAAAATAAAAACTCAATGTTAGGCAATCCTGACTGGATCTTCGGCCGGAGGGTTGGCTACAATCTTGAACTGCGACAAGTTCAAGTCCTTCTTTCCCGATGATGTCAAAGTAAAGTGCGTTGCAAACGCAGGCTTCTTCATCAATGCGTGAGCTCTTCTTCCTCGTCTCATTAATTTATGTGTGGATGCTATTTGGTACTCAAGCGTGTTAGGATTATTTTATGCAGGAAGACAATCTTTGGTACTTCATATATTCAAGAGATGTATCAGAAAGTTGTAACTTTACATGTGAGTCCCATCTCATCCTTTCTTTTTGGGTTATAAAAAGGTATATAAGCGTAACAAGTATATGTTCAAGTTAGAATCTTTTTATATAATAAATTTTTCCTCTCATTCAAGGGATCGGCTAAGAATTTGCCTCCATCTTGCGCCTCTGCAATGGAACCAAGTCTGGTAAGAGTTTTTATAAGCTTTTTCGAAATAAAATTCTTTTCTGCATGCTCTATAAGTATTGCCCTCTAACAATCTCTTTTTTTTCCTTAAATAATGGTGCAGTGCTTTTTTCCGCAGCATGTTATTCCATATGTTCAGACTCCACTTTTTATTATTAATTCACACTATGATGCTTGGCAGGTCAGGGAAACAAATAAATGCTAATTCTCTTCGTTTTAAGAATTTTGTTAATTCGCTTCTTTTTTTTTAGTTTCTACAAAATCTAAAAAGATAATTTCTTCCAGATTAATAATACTTTGGTTCCTGCATACCTCAATCCGCAACATACCTGGGATCAATGCAAGGCTCTAATAAGTAATTGCACGTTTACCCAGCGTATAATTATTCAAGGTTAGCCCATTTCAGGTGACCAGCTAATACCTTTCAGATCACACAAGTATAAATAGGTCTTTTTCTCCTCTAATTCTAATTAATTATCTGTTTCACTTGTTTTCTTCTTTTAATATATAGTTTTTGGAGTGGAGTTCTTGAAGGCATTTGAGGGACTCACCCCTTCTTATACGAGGGGTTACTTCATCACATCTTGTCACGCTCATTCTCAAATTATATGGACCAGTTACTGGTACAGTGCTACCTCTCCAAGAGTACTTAATAAGGTAATCTTTCTTTTATAGTGTTTGAATACATGTGTTTTTTTTTTGTTTTTGGATTTATCATGTGTGTCTATCATTAGCAATTTTAATTTACGAGTTAAAAACAGATTTTGTTGTAACGTTTTATCTGTGTAGACAATTGCGGAAGCTGTTGCAGATTGGTACTTTGATAGAGCAGTGTTCCATCAATACATAGACCCATATCCATGTGCTAGAGATTGCTTGTGAATTTTTTAAAGTAGTCTTGTGCTAAATGCTCTGCTGAGCTGTGTAGAAGTACTGTTCCAGCATTCAGTGAATGAAACATTAACTTTTATTTAGATTCCAATTACCGTTTCTTTCGCTGAGTATGAAGTTACGTTCTTGCCATTGCTGAGTATATATATCTAACCATATTGGCAAAGTTGTCTTTGTTACTTCACACCTTTCTTTAAAATCTGTAAAAGGATAATTAAAAAGTCGGACAAAGTTAATGAAGTGAAGGAATAAAAGTTGCAATTATGTAAAATTCGCCTACCCCGTCCTTCTATGATTCCCAATATGGTTGGTTATTTTTTTAAAACATATATCAAAAGCCATCAGTTTTTATGGGGATTAGGCATGGATCCTACAAGTCCCATTCTATGTACATTCGTGAAGTAACCAAATGCAGCTTTCAAAAGACTAGCTTGTTTGATTGAAAAATAAAATAAAAAAATAGTAACAATAATAATAATTGTATACGGTCGAAGTCGAGCTTGACTTCAACTTGGTAGATTTGGCTTAGAACGTGGCGACCACGGACTGGAAATTGACCTCGAGTCTCACTGAGCTAGAACCTGAGGTTGGAAGACCTGCCTTCGAGGAACGTAGAGTCCGGTATCGATCTTAGCCTCGAGCAAGCTCGGAAATAAAAAGTGAAAGACAGAAATATCCGCGACCGGGCAAATATTACGGCAGGAATCTCGACGCATATTGGCAAGGAACCGACAATTAGCAAATCAAGAGATTTTTTTTCCTTTTATAGAAATGTATCTAGAATAGGACCCCTCTACTATATAAAGAGGTGTATGATAATTCATTGCACACATTATAACATGCATCCTAAAGCAATATACTGTTATATAGTTCTCATTATCGCATCATTTTGTTCCGATATCGATTAAGGCATTTTTAACTCAAGGGTGACCAATCTTCAAGTCTAGATTGTTCAACTTGTGTGGTTTGCATTTACTTTTCTATCATTAAATTCAATATTAATCTAATTTCTCAATTTGTATCAAGTTAGATCGCGTATCCTTAAATAGCGTATAAATTCATTTCTTATCTGATTTTTATGGTAAATAGTTTGGCGCCTATCGTGGGGCTAAGGATAATAGTGGTTATTTGATACGAATTTCCATAACACACACTATTTTACAGTTATTCTTTGAAGTGTCTCTGATTTCAGGTTTAAGCTCAAATTGTCAAACTCACAATTAGCACCTCTACCTCCGGTCAGCACAGTGGAAACAATAATATAGCGCCCGGTAATGAGGTACCGCCCGTTGATTCCATCGGAATTCCAATTGCGCAACCGTTGGACTCTAATTCGCATGTGGCTATCGACACAAGCCTCCCTACGGACCCCGAGAATAGCATCTGTGGTGGAGCCCGGTCGACAGCACACAAAACTCAAAACAATGTTGGAGACAGGGTCAATCTACGAATGATCTTCGAAATGTTATAGGCTTAACAGGCGGCGATAGCTCAGTTACAAAACCAGAGCCGCGTACCAAGCAAGATCGAGCCCGAACCATCTCGAGAGATCGCTCGCAGGGAGGATCCGGCTGCGGAAAGGTCGAGTGGGAACGAGTTGGGTAATAACCCCGAGATAATAAAATACTCGAGGATCTAATAAAACAAGTAGAATCAGGGGAGAAGAAAATCGAAGCAAACGACAAAATGGTGGAACCTACAATTCCAGGGTCGACCAGATCCCCGGGAGCGCCGCCGATAATACTGAAAGGCTTGGATTCCAAGAAGTTTGTACAGAAACCTTTCCCTTCGAGTGCGGCTCCAAAGTCGATCCCTAAAAAATTCCGTATGCCCGAGATTCCTAAGTACAACGGAACGAGTGACCCAAACGAGCATGTCACTTCATACACATGTGCCATCAAAGGAAATGACTTGGAGGATGATGAGATCAAGTCTGTCTTGCTGAAGAAATTTGGAGAAACCTTGTCAAAAGGAGCTATGATATGGTATCACAACTTACCCCCTAAGTCTATTGACTCATTTGCTATGCTTGCAGACTCTTTTGTGAAAGCACATGCTGGGGCAATCAAGGTCGAAACCAGGAAGTCAGAGTTCTTCAAAAAAGGGAAAAAGGATAATGAAATGCTCAGAGAGTTCGTGTCTCGGTTTAAAATGGAACAGGTGGACCTGCCACTAATCTGTCACGACCCTAAACCCGGACCTGGTCGTGATGGCGCCTCTCGTGAAGACAAGGCCAGCCGACACATACCCAATTCAAAGTTAAACAGCTAAACAACAATACAATAGGCTAAAACATGCTTTAATAATGCTAAACAGCAATGCAATATCATAACAAGGCGAAAGTACAACCCAACCACAAGCCGATACCGGGGTGTCACTAGTCATGAGCATCTACCAATTCTAAATACAACTGACAAATCTAAAATGTACTTAGTACAGTCTAATAGAATGACGAGAGAGAAAGCAGTGCTGCGAACACCGACAGCTACCTTGCTTACTCCACTGACAACTGCCACCAAGCTCAGAAAATACCTTAATCTGCACACAAGGTGCAGGGAGTAAAATGAGTACTGCCAACTCAGTGAGTAATAATCATAAATAAAGACTGAGTGATAAGAAATCACGAAAAGAGCATCAACATGCTGTATAGAAGCAGTTTCAAAATCCAGTAAGAAAGCAATGAAGCTGAAGAATACTTTAAAACATCTTAGCTCTGTTTAAACTCTTTTGAAAATGACTTTTTCAACAGTTGCGCAAATGAATGCAGAACAACTAGTGCAAGTAAGCACAGAAATCCGCCTCTCGGGCACAAATGCACAATTAATCAAGTAAATGACAGGCAAATAACAAAGATAAGCACATAAGGTTCGCCCCTCGGGCAACATATCAACAAATCCGCTCCTCGGGCAATATTTCACAACGTTACCAGCCCCTCGGGCAATCACATAGAACAGTATTAGCCCCTCGGGCAATCACATCGAACAATACCAGCCCCTCGGGCTATATCTCACATCACACTGGGTACCCGCGCTCACTGGGGGTGTACAGACTCAGGAAGTGGCCCCTTACGGCCCAAGCGCAATAACAAGCCATCTCGTGGCATCATAAACATGCTCTCGGCCTCATATCAATATCAAGCCAACTCATGGCGTACAATCTCAGGCCCTCGGCCTCATAATCAAATCAGTGTATCACTGCTGAGGCGTGCAGCCCGGTCCCAAAGATATGTATCACCTCTGCGGCGTGCAGCCCGATCCCAAAAAATATATGTATCACCGTTGCGGCGTGCAGCCCGATCCCAAAATATATGTATCACCACTGCGGCGTGCAGCCCGATCCCAAAATGTATGTATCACTGTTGCGGCGTGCAGCCCAATCCCAAAGATATCCTCACAACACAGGCCCTCGGCTTTACTCAGTCAAAAATCACATAAGCCTCTCGGGCAACAGTAAAACAGTATTTCTCAGCCCCAAACATCATTTAAATATCATTTGAGTATTAAAACAGAGTAAACATGGCTGAGTTTTGAAAATAATGGAAATAACATGACTGAGTTCAAGTATAAAGTCAAAACAGTGAGGAAACATCAACAATAATCCCCGAAGGATTCACATAATTGACGACCCCACGCTCGTCATTAAGCGTGTGCCTCACCTCAATATAGCGCTACGATGTGCAATCCGGGGTTTCAAACCCTCAGACATCATTTACAATAATTACTCACCTCGAACCGGCTAAATCCCTAGCTCGCGACGCCTTTGCCCTTCGAATTGGCCTCCACGCGCGTCGAATCTATCCAAAATCAGAATGAATACATCACAATATGCTAATGGAACAAAGCCCAAGCGAAAACAATCGAAAATACCAAAAATCCCGAAATTAGCAAAACCCGAGCCCCGGGCCCACTTCTCGAAACTTAGAAATTTTTACACCAATAGGTTCCTTATCTCCCCGCAAGTTCATACATACCAAAAATATCAAAATCCGTCCACAAATGACCCTTCAAATCCCAAATTAAAGGTCCAAAATTCCAAGCCCTAGTTCTTCCATTTTAGCTTAAGCTTCCATGAATTTCTAGGTGGATTTCACAATAGAATGAGTTTTAAGTTGAAAAATCTTACCTCCAATCGATTCCCCTTGAATCCCTCTTTAATCTCCACCAAGAAGCTCTCAAAATGATCAACCATGGAGGAAAAATGACCCAAAATCGCGGATGAAATAATGTAAAAGCTTTCTGCCCAGTTCTGACCTTTCTTCATCGCGATCGCGGCACAAGCCTCGCGATCACGAAGAGCAAATATTCAAGACCTCACAAAAACACTACGCGAACGCGACCAACACCCTGCAAACGCGATGATCAAATGAAATAACTTTACGCGAATGCGATGCACAAATCACCTTGGACCCCATCTGACTTACTTCTTCTACGCGATCGTGTACCCTCATTCGCGAACGCGATACTCTGATCCACAGCCCTCAGCGAACACGAAGCCCATCTCGCGATCGCGAAGGCTAAAACCTGGCGTTCCTCCCTTCCTTCTTCGCGAACGCGAGCCTACTCACGCGAACGCGAAGAGAGAACTCTGCAACACCTGAACTCCAAAATCTGCAACTTCAAAATACCAAAAATTGTCCGATTGACCATCCGAAACTCACCCGAGGCCCTCGGGACCTCAACCAAAGTCACCAACACATCCTAAAACTTCATTCAAACTTGTTCCAATCATCAAAACGCCTCAAACAACATCAGATTATCCAAAACTCATCGAATTCAAGCCTAAGTTTCTAAAATCTTCCGAAATACGCTTTCGATAAAAAACCCGACCAAACCACGTCCGAATGACCTGAAATTTTACACACACATCCAAAATGACACAACGAAGCTACTGCAACTCTCGAAAATCCATTCCGATCCTCGGATGAAAATCTCACCTACCAACCGGAAATCGCCAAAATATCAACATCGCCAATTCAAGCCTAATTCTACTTCGGACCTCCAAAACCCATTCCGATCACGCTCCTAAGTCACAAATCACCTCCTGAAACTAACCGAACCATCGGAACTCACATCCGAGCCCTCTAACACATAA